GGGATTTTGAGGGTGCTGGGGTGGGTTTTAGGGAGGCTGGAGATGGTTGGGGATTTTGAGGGTGCTGGGGTGGGTTTTGGGGAGGCTGGAGATGGTTGCGGGTTCTGGGGGTGGTTTTGGGGGTGCTGGGGTGGATTCTGGGCAGGGCTGTGGGCAGTTGGGGATCCTGGGGGGATTTTGGGGTGCTGGGTGTTGGAGGGAGCTGGGGGAGGTTTGGGCACAAGGCCCCACTTCAGAGGTCCGGGGGGCTCCCAGTTACCCCAGTTTGGGGGCACCCAGTTCCCCAGTGCTGGGGGCAGGGCTTGTGTGGGGGTGGGGCTGGAGGGCGGGGCTCCCTTGGGACCCTTGATGGTTGGCCAACTTGGGGGGCGCTGCGATTGGCTGGTTGAGGTGCTGCTGGGCTGTGATTGGCTCACCAAGGCACTGGTGGGCTGTGATTGGCTGGTGGAGGTGCAGGTTGTCTGTGATTGCCTGGCTGAGGTGCTGATTGGTTGGCTAGGGTGGTGGTTGGCTGCGATTGGTTAACCAGGGTGGTGGTTGGCTGCGATTGGTTGGCCATGTTGGTGATTGGCTGTGATTGGTCAGCTACTTGAGCTGCTGATTGGTTAATTGTTGGTTGGTTGCTTAGCTGACCAGGACACTGATTGGTTGGCTGGTGGCTGGCTAAGATGCTGATTGGCTGGTTGAAGTGCTGGTTGGCTGTCATTGGTCGGCTGGTTGGTTGGCCAGGGCTCTGATTGGCTGGACACGGGGTGAGCAGGGCTCTGATTGGCCAGGAGCTGCCAGCCCAGTCTGGGACTGGAACTGGGGGCAGTGGGACCATCCCAGGGTCGGGTGGGGTTGGGTGGGGTCAGGAGGGCACAGGTGACCCCAGGGCCAGGAGCTCTGGGATCAGGGTGGGGTTTGAGGGGTCCCCGCGCAGGGTGAGGGTCTGGGGGGGCTCCTGTGCTGGGGAGGGGCCAGGGTGGAGGTGCCTGTGCTGGGGTGTCTGGGGTGCCCCCCATAATCCCCCCCTCTCTCCCCCCACGCCGCAGCTTCACGGTCCTGCCATGTAAGTACCTGCTCACCTTCCCCGGTTTGGGGGGGCTCTTGTTGGGGGGGACCCCCCTCTATCCCCCCGGATGGGGCTGAGGGGTTTGGGGGGGGGGGCACCCCCAGTCCCCTGACTGGGATCTGATGTGGTGCCGGTGGGGGTGGGGGGCAGGGGGGCTTGTGGGTTCCCCCAAGGGGGGATTTGAGGGTGCCACACCCCCCAGGTGAGGGTTGGGGTTTCCCCCCAGGTGATGTTGGGGGGTCCCCGCCTCTGACCCCCCTGTGCCCCCCCAGTGACGAGAGGCGGCTGCACTGAGGAGGGGCCCCCCCGGGCCGGCGCCCCCCGCCCAGAGCCCGCGGGGACCCCCCCGGCCCCCCGACACCGTCGCTGCTAATGCTGCACCAGGACCCCCGAAATGGAGGGGCCCTCAACCCCCCCCGCCCCGAGCACAGGGGGGTGTGGGGACCCACAAACCCTCCTGGAATTGGGGGTGCGGGGAACCCCCAAAACCCCCCCGGGGCACCACAGCCCATGGAAATGGGGGTGCAGGGATCCCCAAACCCCCCCTGGGCACCACGAGGCCACAGGGACCCCCCAAAACCCTCCCGGGGCACCACAGCCCATGGAAATGGGGGTGCAGGGATCCCCAAAACCCCCCCGGGCACCACGAGGCCGCAGGGACCCCACAAACCCCTCTGGAAATGGAGGTTCAGGGACCCCACAAAATCCCCCAGAAATGGGGTGCAGGGACCACCCCAAGCCCCGTGGGGACCCCCCCAAACCCTCCCTGGCAGTGCAGAGCTTGGGGAGGGGGGTGTCCCTCTGTCCCCCCAGAGGGGGGACGGGGGGACTCCCCGAGCACCAAGGGGACCCCCCCAAGCACCAAGGGGATGCCCCAGCACCAAGGGCACCTCCCAGCGTTCAGGGGGAACCCCACAGCACCCCGGGAACCCCACAAAGGCCTGTGCCCCCCCCCCAGTGCGGGGGGACCCCCGACTCGCTGTATCCAGGGGTCAATAAAGTCACGGAGCATCGGAGCCTCTTGGGGTGGCCCTGGGCCTGCTCTGGCCCTGCCCCTGGGCCTGTTACTGTCCCTGCCCCTGGTCCTGTCTTTGTCCCCATCCCTGTCCATGGTCCTGCCCCTGTCCTTATGCCTATCCCTGGACTGGCCCTGTCCGTGCCCGCTGTCCGTGCCCGCTGTCCGTGCCCGCTGTCCCATCCCTGTGCCCTCCCTGTCCCTGCTGGTGGCACCGGGCGCACACGTGTGACGGGGGTGGCACACACACGGCACGGGGTGACACACGTGCACGTGTGCCAGCGGTTGGCACACGCATGTGGCACAGGGTGGCACACATGGCAGGGCCTGGCACGGCCCGGGGACAGCCCTGTCACCCTGGGCACAGCCGGGCGGGGGCCGCGCTCCCGGGCACGCGTGTGCACCCCACGGTGTCCCCCCCACGCCCCCTCCGTGTCCCCCCCGGGCTCTGTGGGGGACCCCAGGGCTCGGGTGGCACCAGCGGGGTGCAGGTGGGACCCCAAATGCGGGACCCCCCCCAGATGTGGGACCCCCCAAATACGGGACACCAAATGTGACTTCCCCACAAGTGAGACCCTGCCTAATGTGGGACCCCCAAAATGGGAGACATCCCCCCAGTGTAGGAGATGCCCAAATATGAGACCCCCCAAATGTGGGCCACCCCTCAAGATGTGGGGCACCCCCGGATGTGGCTCATCCCCCCCAAGTGTGGGGCCCCACTCAAATGTTGGACACCCCCCCC